CCCCCGACAGGGCCCACATCCCAAGTCCTGCAGTCTTCTCGCGCGGATACAAGGGGTCACCTCCCAATGAAGCCTTGCACATTAGCCCCTCAATGCGAGCCATTTGCACATACAGCCCGAGAAGCGGCAACACCTCTGTCACGGTACAAGGGGCGAGGCAACAGAGAAGGGAGTAGCGCGCCATGTCTCGCTGAAGCTGTCGAGACCTTTGCACAGCCGCTGACTCTAGCTTCTTTGTCTTTGGCAGGTGAAGCAGCGGATCGTGCTACAGCATGCGGCTCATCACGCCAAGTATCGCCATCACCTTTCTCAAGGCCGCCGCCCCGCCCCTCTCCTCCTATGGCCAGCGCCTTTTCGCAGTTCTTGTACCATCGCCAAGCCATAACGGCCACCGGCTTGCGACGCGAGGACGATACACCGCACTCTACATCGCAAAGGCCGCACACTGCCAGCATCTTGCATCCGTCGCGTGTATGCTCGTTTCGGACTGCGCGTGCGTTCAGATGTCTCTTCGGTGCTACCTATCTCTGCATCGCTTCCCCCTGCGCGCATTCGAGCTGGCAAGCGTTACGCTTCCAATACTTTTCTATCAGGGCCAAGCTCCAATCGACGCCCACAACGTCAGCGCTGCCTTCTGCGCCAAATGGTGATGGAATTGTCCCACATGACAGGTCCTTTTGGCATGCTGAGCTTGCTCGTCAGCGTGCAGACCGCGCGGGTTTGTGCTTTACAGCCTCGCTGGATCTTCCGACACTATCTTCTTTAAGAGAATGCGGTGTCGGATGATGAAAGTCTACCAGGGCAATGAATCGGAACTGCGCGCCACTGGACTCCGCGCAGCGGCAATCGATGCAATTTCGGAGCCAATGGAGAGTCACCAAACATCGGAAGCCAGGCATGCTACCAAAAACGAGTATGCAAAGTATCTGCTTCGGAGGGGTCTATCTGTTCCAGCACCCTTGCTGCTGGCTTCATCACCGGCTTCGTCTCTGGCATGGCCAATACTGCATGGTCTCCGGTGACATGCAGCGAATGCAAACGCCTCGCAGAGGTACGCTTGCCGCCCTGGCTTGATTGAGCACACACGTCAATTAGCACATGCGCCTCGCTGCGTTCGCTTCGTGCAGCCTGCCTACACGATCCGTCAGGAGCATACAGCATTGGCCAGGCGTTGCCGACACGCACGAAGTCGAGCCCTTGACGTTCACCATTCATGACAGACCGTCAAGCAAAGTCGATTCCGACTTCAGATCCGAATTCGAGGCCGGCTCAGCCCGGTCCGGCGACCAACCAGCCAAAGCGAGCATGTGGCTCAGACGAGCTGAGGTGCACCACAGCAATGAGGAATAGAGCGCGCCAGGGCGCGTCGAGCAGCTCCAATCTGTCCTCAAACCGCTTCCCGAAGCCACTTTTGAAGGGGCGCTATTTCCTGGACTTGCAAGAGCGCCTTGATCTCGATCGAGTTTGGCTCTTACAAGGATTTCGAAGAACTCGTCGTTTGCATGGCGAATTAAGCCTCTGGCACTCAGCATCCCCTGACTCGGATTAGAAACCATACGCCGTGTTGATGTGCGATGCACGAGCGCAAACTCCACCTCAGAAAGTCCCAACTTTGGGCTCGAGCGGCGAGCCGAGGTCGACGCAGCCACGCCTATGCCGCTTTGCTACTTAGCCCTTAGTGAGAATTGCGGCACGTGGGGCAGCTCTGTTCCACACCAAGCGCAATACTGCAAAAGCGACATGCTGACGCTTGAAGTCCTAAGCCGAGCCGGTCACTCGTGAGCTGACGGCTTTGGGCATAATACATTGCGAAAGCGCGTTCGCATATCCTGCTATTTGCGAGTATGGACCCGAGGCGTGCCAGCTCCCTTCGCCACGGGTCACTGCTTCTCCTTAGCCAGGACGTTCCACTCCGAGCAACTTCGGGCTGAAGCCCACCGGCTTCAAGCCGGATCATTCAACGAATCGAAATGAATCTCGGCCGTTTCGAGGCTCAAGAGCTAGACCGCTTGGCTTCGTACGCCTCGGCCACCGTCCTCCGTCGTGCATGAGGCGCAGCCATTGAGCAGCTGCATGGGGCCTGATCACACGCACGAGACCTCAAAGTCATCTACTCTTGACTCCGGAGACTTTGATCTATGGCGACACATCACGTGGTTTCGTGCAACATCGAAGAAGCTAGAATAGCCATCGCGTGAATCTATATACTCGGAATCGGGTCGCATTGTGGTCTGCCTAGCAGCTTGAGGCAAATGAGGTCATGGCCACTAGGCGGCCGTAGAAATCCTGAGCGTGGCGCAGATTTGCTCCACATACAGGTCACTAAGGAGACGGAGCAGAATCACGCAAAACCAACAGGCTTGCTGGAGAAAGGTGATAGGGCCGGGGAAGCGCGCAGTGGACAAGCCTACGTTGATGTCCAGCCTTCAGGTCGCGCGCAGCAGGCAAGAACATTTCCGAGCGACCGATCTCAGCATGCGTCTCGATGACTTTGCAACAGCTTGCGCGCGGAGGCGAGACTACCGGCGTCTATCTCTGCGGGCTCACATGAGAGGAGGGTGGGAGAATGGGCGGGGATGGGGGCGCTGAAAATGAAACATTCTACGCCTCGAGGCTGCATCTCTTAAGATATCTGTCGCGCTCAACAGTCTACGTGCAGGTAAGTGAAGCCGACCAAAGCAAATGCGTCAAGGGT